CAGAAGGCCTGGGCGGCATCGCAGGCGAGGTCCCAGGGCGACTGTCGGGAGGGCATTGATAGATCGGTGATTGTGTGGGCGAGATGGAGGGCCGGACCCAAGTTGGAACCGGAGTCAGACTGGAATCGGAATCGTCTCAAAGGGGCCGAAAGGGAGGTTCCCCTGACAGTTTTGAATTGCCAAGATACTCTGACATTGCTTACAAAAATCTCAATTTATATGATTTCCTTATTAGGGATCTTTTGGCACTAGAGGCACTATAAAACTTATGAAATATATCTTTTTGGGATATGAAAAGAGCAAACCCGCTGTAATATATGAAAATTCATATAGTATTTGAAGTGCAATCTATAACATTCACCCTTGTTAACCACCCCTTATTCAACAACACTGTCTGAAAATATCCTCTCAAATATATAACAAGCACACCAAAAGGTGATCCTTTAATAAGTTTTCAGTCCTGATCAAAGGTTTTCTGCAAATTATGATACCAAATGGTCTTTTCACAAGATATATTCATTGATAACTAATTCCATACTCAGAGAATTTTTTCAATATTGTGTACAAGGCCTACAGGTTGGTGTAAGATTGGTTAATATCAAGTTTCACCAAATCCATATTGTTGGTAACCAATAGTATCCTTAATTTCCCATCTAAGTATCTGGGTTCCTGAACCATGCAACTTGACATTGATGTGGAACAAGGTTCCCTTGAGTATCACTGTGCTCAATAATGGTGCTTGTTTCAGCCAGAGCTGCCATAAATTGACAGGATCCTCCAGTCTCTTTCCAACATCTGTTAGCTCCCTTTTGGCATCTTGGCATGACTTCCAGTCAAGGTCAAAATAAATGGCAAGATCAATGAGCGTGGGTGGCAATAGGCTAGGCAGTGCCTGCATGAGTCCCATTGCCTCTTGGTCAACAACTATCTGTTGTTCCACTACTGGGATACACTGGAAGGTATCTGCCAGAGTATAAAGATCTCCCATCCACTGTGTTACTTTGAAGGTGAGCCTCCTAAGACATAGGAAATGCTTCAGCAGTGCAGAGAGATGGAGGTGTATATCACAGTCAGTGGGGGTCCTAATCACAAAATCCAGGTCTAGTGTCATGATTGTTGAAGGGATGGTTTCTGGGGCAAATGAAGAAAATGTTTCATCCATATCTGTGAGCGTGCCAAGATTATAATCATGATCAGATCCAGTCAGGCTGAGATGAACTAGTGGGGTCTTTTGAAAAAAGACCTGCAGGCCCAGGTGATTTGTGTGGAGTGTTGTGAGCAGAGGAAAGGGGATCCAAGATGGAGAGGTAGCTCTGTCTGAAGCAAGAGCTAGATCATCACCATTCGTTATTTGCGTCACATCTAGAAGAGTGACAGCAGGAAACCATGTTGTAAGCAGGAGTAAGTTGGGTGCAATGTTTTTCCAGTCAGTTTGTAAGGTAAGGCTCTTGACCTGAGGAAACAACAGCTGCTTAACTGGGAAGGTGATACTGCCACATAGGGTTACTGCTGTCAAGGACAGTGGGCTGGAGAAAGCAAGCCAAGCCCCAACATCTGTGTTGGTTATGCCTAAGGTCCTGAGAGAGAGTTGGTTGCCATGAGCTTTAGCTTCTGCAGCCAGTGAACAGTGCCGTATGTTGCAAGCCTGCAGCATTGAAACAGAAGCTAGGGCACTAAGAGACACCTGTGTGACTGGGATGGAGTGGGCTGAAAATGAGTTTAGGCTGGGGAATGTGCTTGTAGTGATTAATGAGAAGAGCATGTCAACCAGCTCATGTGTGTTTCTATCTGGAGAAAATCTGTCCCATTCATCTCTAGTATACCAGATATAGTCGGGGCCACCATCAGAGTCAGGATAGGAGTCGACTTTGCGGACCACGATCTGGCGCACATGTGGCGCAATTGCAGGCGATGCAAAGAACTCCAGTTTCTTGACAAGTGCTTCCTTTTCTGCTGGTGGTGGGATGCAAAGCTGGTAGCCGCCATATTGGTGCATTGTGCCTATCGCGACATATGGTGTGAAGTGGAGTGTGGCATAGAGCAGTAGGCGCGCAAGGCGGCTGAGTGCGTGACAGCTCAGCGCGAGGTGGAGCAATGTTGCATGAGGAACATGATGAAGAACTTCGAGTATTAACTCGTCAGCAAGAGTGAGGAGCATCGAATCCGCAAGATGTAATGATGTTGAGACGCTTATAACTTTGCAGATGTCAGGGAAACACAACGGCGCCCAGTCCCGTGGTAGAGATCCATGATCCAGATGGCCCGATAGAATCGGAAGGCTTATCATGATGTTGCCATTTTCACATCCGCAATAATTACACTTGAAAGTACAGTTAGAGTTCAAGCTAGATCTAAACCCACGACTTCACATCTGACAGTCTCCACCGGGAAGAAGCCGATGATATGAAAACGGAACTACGCGGCAGATTGTGTGACTTTTGAGGCGTTGGGGCGGTAACCGTCGAAATCGCCGGCACATCGGAGGTGTGTCTGCGGTAGTGCCTTCGCATATTGCTGTTGACGTTGAAGGAGCGGCCACAGCCCGGATGCGGACAGGGGTATGCTATCGATGTGTGAGTCGTCGCGGACAATCTGTCGGGATATGGAGAAGACTCACGCGTCGCACCAGTGTGTGTGTTCATGTGTATGCGCAAACTGCTTGGGCGGTTGAAACGCTTGCGGCAGCGTAGACAGACGTGCCGCCGGCAATTGAGAGCGGCGCTAGCTTCCGCATCCGAGCTGCCCGAGCCTGATTCAGACTGCCAGCCCCGCTGGTCTACGCTGTTGTCCGAACCAGCGGGCGATGGTGGGCGGAAACGGAAAGAAGTGGACTTGTCCGCTGGGCAGGGTGGATAGTAACCTTTAGAGAGGTCGAAAGGCAGAAGCAACGGCTTGGGCAATTCAAGTTGTAGGCGTCGATGAACACGGGGAAGGTCGAGGAGATAGTCAGGAAAGAGTTCGTGTATGCCGGGAAGCACGATGTTGCGCATGTCGGCGCTTGAATGTGGGTGGTATATGAGGGAAGCGATTGTGGGCTTGTGCGTATTAATACTGCAGCGGCGCTCAGGCGCCGTCAATTCCCCCCGGAAACTACTCAAGCGAGACCAGCTGAGCCGCGGCAAGATGAGAACGGATCGGCAGACCGTCAATCGAAGAGAGGGTGGGAGAGTGAGAGTGAAATGCATTGCGACAGCCGTTTATGTCAGCCGTTTATACCAATTCTGTTGAGACGTTGTGCAAGAGGAGCGCAGCCGGCAAAGAATAGCGCACGTACCTTCCCGGGGTATCCGTAGAGACGATACGGGCAACACGGCGGCATACCCGCTGAGAGTCGCCTGCCCGTTTCTCCGTAAGTGAATGCTGATCGGGATTCGGTTCGTGAGACCTGCTGACCATTTCAATGAGCAGTTCTTATCGGTGTGAATCCAGCCGAGATGGCAGAGCGGATCCCTATATCGTCTTCTGCGTACCAGACCGCGGGAAACACCAGCCAGATTGCCGAGGTGGTTGGAACTTGGAACTCGCTTTATAGAATAGGTGAGGAGGGAGTCAACTGCCAGAGAATAACTCGCGGGAGTGAGCAGTGAGCACTGAATGAGGGAGATGATCAAGATGTTCCGGCAGAAGTTTAGTCGACGGGGAGCAGCCAAACGACTACAAAGAGTGCAGCATCATAGGTGCATCGATCGGCAGACGTCACCCTGAAAGGTGTTGGCCCGCGAGAGAACCAGAAGAAGGTGACGATTGTGGATAATCTGCGGGCCTTGAAAAGACTGGCGAAGCTGTTGAAGATGCGTCCGCTTGGCCCAGCGTCGGGTCGACGGATGGGCATAATCGTCGATGTGGTGGGGAAGAAGAAAATTTTTGACGTGCCGAGTCAGTCGGTAACGTGTGATGTCGCCAAGGCATTCATCAATCGTCACGTCTGTGACTCTCCCACACTCAACCGTCATCATGTCGACAGCCACGTTTTTACGGACGATGTGCCGGACGAGTTGTGGCTCGAAGTCGCCTCCCATCTCCGCTGGAAGCACCTATCGGCCCTCTTCCAGACAAACCGGCGCCTCAGTCAACTCACCCGCCCATTGCTCTTCACCGACCTCACGTTTTCGCGCACATATTGCTCGTCGTCAACCGCACTGCTCCCTGTGCCTTCGCGGCCGGCGCCCGACCATGGACGGCAACGGGTCGACTTCCTCTCGGATGCTGTCGCGCCGCTCGTTCGCTCTTGGCGTGTCGTCAAGCGGGTTCTCGCCCCGGAGCAGCTGGCAACGCAGATGCCCGTCGGTCCGGGGTTCGTTCTGCCCACCGAGGAAGAGCTTCGTGTCGTCTCAGCACGCCTGGTTGAACGCATTGGATGACAGGACCTCTTAATCGCTGATGAAATTCTCTTCTCAGCCGCGATCGCGGCGATCCACGGCCTGCCGCGCCTGGAGCAGCTTGACAGAGACGGCTGCCATCTATATGACGATGCTCTTGATCTTTCCCCGCCTTAGACCTGTGCTCCGCTCTCCTACATCCACTTACCGTCCCTCCTCTCTCCCAACCCAAAGAAGGAGCGGCTCTGAAGCTCGTTCTTCAATAACAGATGCCTGCACACTTTGTCTTTGAACACCACCCTCGCGTTTTGGCGACAAGAACTTGAAGCGCAATATGTGCCTGTCTTCGCATATACCACGAAGCTCACACTGCTGTATGACAAGGAAAAACCACCAGCGCGCATGGCTGTAATTGAGGGCAGGTCACGCAGCAGTAGCGGACACGGGCATGGACACTGGCATGGTCATGAGGGCGAGGAGGATGATCTGTTGCCCATGTATTCGGCGGTGGAGCGGTATTGACTCAATACCGCTTTGAGTCGCAGCTGTGTCAAATCGTGAGTGGCAGCTGTATACTTAAATAGGTCAAATACAACACTGAACACTGAACAGGACATTTCCTCCAATATTGGATGGAATATATATTGTGAACGTAGAATTCTACGATAAGTATTATGAAAGTCACTCTGTGTCCTCATCTTCGTCCTCATCTTCCTCATCTTCATCCATCGTATCTTCCTCCTCGTCATCTCCCCCGTCCTCCTCAACATCGCTCTCCGACGGCTTAACCTCCTCCCGCGGCGTGCCCTTCTTTCCCAGCGGCGGCACCACCACGAACAGCACCGCATCGCCATAGATATACGCGATCGTCGCCTGATTTCCGGTCGCCATATAGCGGGACGGCGTCTCGTTGTGCTTCTTCCGGGGCGTGACCCACTGGCAGTCGACCGGCTCGCCCCCGCCCTCTGCGTCGTCGTCATTTTCATCGTCCATGTCCTCATCATCGTCCGAGCGAGGGGAAAGCCTCCCCGGCTGCCCCTGCTCGTCCTGGGGCACCAGCACCCGCCCGCGCCGCTTCATCGCATGAGTCAGACTGCTGAACTCCGTGTCGAGCCACTCGAGCTCCATCTCGCTCTCCGCCATCACCTGCCTCGGCTTCCTCTTTTTCCAGCTGTACTCCTTCGTGTCGTACACAAGGCGCACGAAGCTGCTGAGCCCCGCCCGGCTTGCAGCCGACCGCACGCGCGCGTCGTTGCCCTTCAGGACGTCGCGCAGATACGCGTGAGAACCTGTGTTCAACTCGTCGCCCGCGTTGTCATTGGTGTCTGCCGCGCCCGCCTCGGTAAGCGCCGGGTACTGGTGGCTGAGTCCGAACGCGAGCAGCCCGCCCGCGCGCATGAACTTGGCCTCCGCGACGAGCGCCCGCAGCGCCGTCTCCAGCGCCTGTTCCGGGGCGGGCACGATCCGGCTGCCAGGTGTATAGCCTGCGCGAGTGCGCTTTCGGACGAATAAGTTGTAGGTCAGTGTGACGCGGTGGCCCGTAAGAACAGGCTCGACAGCATGCACAACATCGCTGTAAAACGCCACGTACGCGACGGAAGGTGTGGAGGGGGAGTGGCCCGCGAGGAGCGCGCTCGAGTCGAAGTGGCCCGTGTGCGCGCCGTGAGAGAGGGTGAGGGCGCCGCCCGTGTGGGGAGAAGGGAGCACGACCACGAGCGAGCCGATCATCGTTTCGCTCCGCGGCGTGTCCTTGTGGTCTTTGAAGAACGACCCAGCCCCTATGTGGCTCTATGAATGCCGGGATATAGTGATAAACTTGTCGCGCACCATACACGTTCAGCTTGTACATCTCTGCCACCAGCACGGCGTCCTCCGTGTCCGCATCCCGCCCGTCCAGCAGATATGGACTGACGGCCTCCAGGATCCCGCTGGCGGTGACATCCAGCCGCGCCGCAAATCTGTTGACGTCCAGCTTGCCCGCCTTGCGGTAGCTCTCGTCGAGCACGTCCGCCGGCCCCAGCCCGAACGACGCCGGGGCACACGCAGCCGCCAACTTCGCGACGTCGCCCTCCGCAGCGGTGCAAAAGTCGATGAGGCTGTGCGCCCAAGATATTCAACGTGGAGGACAGGCAAGCAAGGGACCCACCGCGCCTCGCCCGACTCCCCGCCAGTGTGGTAGTACACCCCCAGATCATCTCCGCCGACCAGGTGCACGCCGGCCGTGTACGGCAGCGTCGCGCTGAGCTCGAGCGCGCTCGAGAGGACGCGCAGGTGCTCGCTTGCGCTCCAGGTGCCGGGCATCGTCCGCGTAGCTCGCAGGGGGAGGAATCGTCCTCGTAGTGGGGGGAAGAGAAGCGGCGGATGGTCGCGAAGCAAAGGGCGCCCGGGGTGATGATCGGTTGATCTCGATCGGCGCTTCCGGTGGGCATGACGACACCCAGCTCCGCGGCCGGCCAATAGGCCCCTAAGTAGGATTAATTTATGATAAATAGTGGATAAAAAAATGCATATTTTGACAACTTGGAACAATAATAAATGAAACTCGAGGAAAATAGGCTTGATTTGTACACCACCAATTGGCCCCTAGCTGGTGTGCAGCCGGCCTTTCCAGCTGGCACTGGCTGACATGACACCTGGCAGCAGCCGTCTGCCATGAGAATGCTAGCTGGACGATCCGGAGGCCTGAGAACCTCCCGGAACACCGAGCGCTGGATGTCAATCAGATGATTGACAGTTCCGCGCGGTATCAGCGCTCATATATGCCGTTGCCAGGAACAGCCAGCAACGCACTTCTCTCTTTTCCCCCCCAAGTCCAAACACTTTTCAAGCCCTCCTCAAGCCTCAAATGCCTTCAAGCAACCACAAGCACTGTTAATCAAGCACTCTGTCAAGTCCTTGCCTATTCTCAAGTCCTCAAATCACCCCTTCAAGATTTTCAAGCCTTTTTCTGTCCTGTTCCCCCCCCTCTCCCTCCCTTAGCCACTCCCTCCTCCCCTTCCGTAGTCCTGTTATTAGTATGATGTATCTCTGTATATACAATACATTTTATGTTTTCTTTTCTATCTGTGAGTGCTACAAAAATCCGATTTTTTTTTGCTATGGTAGGCAATCATTCCCTGATAGCCGGCCGGAACTGGCCCCAAGCTGGGTCCATTTGCGACAAGAGCTGGATTCCAGCTGATGATGTGGTGGCAGGCAGCTGTCACTGATGCCTGCGACACATGTGATCGGCAGCTTCTCAGCAGCTGTCATCCCATTGGTGGTGTAAACAATGAGGGCATATATTTATGGCGGTCAAAGTGGGGAAGTATTAAATTTCCACACACTTTGTAAAAATTTCACTTTACCGCAACATTTTAAGCAAAACACCATTTTCTGCAACTTTATTCTCTAAACTTGACAAATAGTTGCGGATCATAGCCATTTCTAAAATCCGCAAAACATTTTCAAATAACATTTTTCCCACAATATTTTTCTATCTTGAATGCCAGTCATTCCAACTAAGTATCTTTACTTGTATCTCTGCTTCAAGTTCCCGCCACCATGCCCAGCATCATCGATGTCCCCCCAATTTGGCACCAGTCCGGGGTCCGGACATATGCTGGAGGGTTCACCATCGAGTCATTGTCCCTTCAAGAGCCACTATACACCAGGCCCATTCACAGCCTGAGCCCACCCCACTGTCACGGTTCAGGTTGGGCCGTCGGGCCCTATATGGCCCATCGGGCCCTCACCACCCTTAGAGCCCTAGGGCTTGACAAGCCCTCATAATTCACAAGCTCAAGGCACTGAGCTACAACCCTAATATCCCAGAGAAGGAACATAATCATGGATCACACTTTAGTCAGCCATCAAGCCATCATGACCCGCCATCAGGGATTATGATGCGCCGCCAGACACCCTTGACAGCGGGCCCAATCGGCCCCAGACAACCACAGGGATCAGGAGGGAGCTCCTTACTGTTGCATTGCCAAACACTCCTTAGTGTCGATTTTGGCATGGCTCCTTTCCAGAGGAATGGTCCCTGGGCTCCTAGCGGAGCGACCAGGGACGACAAGAGACATCCCCTGCTCCATTCTGATTGACCCTCAGCGGGCCCGATCGGCCCCTAGCGCCCACAGTATATAAAGACTAAGAGTATTACTCCTGTACCTTAGGTTTAGCATTGAAGTCTCTTTCTTTGAACCCTACTCCGGCCTGGTCCCCTCAAGTGGGGTTGCTGCGACCATACCCCAGGAAAGGGGCGTCTAGACGACTTCCAACGCTCCAGGCTAGCTTGCCTCATTGACCTGAGCCCTTGGTTGGACTGGACAGCCCAGGCTCTTGTCTCTTATGTTCACCCTTGTCCTAGCCACTCATTCTTGCTCTCTGGCCTCAAACTCTGGGTTCCCCTGGTACGGGGCGATGGGAGGGCGCGGAATAATAATATTAATAAATAATAGTCACACTTGTCACAATAAGTCACGGTGGGCTCTAGTAAGAGCTAGCAACATGCTAGCTAAAGGCTGGCTAGCAGAAGCTAGACATTTAGGCAATGGGGGTGCTAGCAGGCTGCTAGCAGATTTAGCCTAGATTTTACCACTACGGCTCACACTTGTGGTATAAGGCGTAAATCTTTCATATACAAAAAATTATTTTTACCCCATGAGGACCCCCACCCCACGTGCCTCATAAGAAACACCAATGTGCAAATGTATAAGTTATCGTTTCAGCGGCAGTGGCTGATGACTCAACTTATGATAAGATAATCCCCCACAGCCACTCATTGCAAATACAGTGGACTTCAGCAAGGACCAAATGCAAAAAAGAATACAAAGGACTATTGCAATATTTTCTTTTGATACCAGCTAAATTGTAAGGGCAACCCTGGAGACTCCGACAAAAGCCTAGCAGGGGAGGATCAAAAGCGTGAATAAAAGCAACGGAAATACACGGAGGGACCGACCTAGCAGGGGAGGATCCAAAGAGAAAAAACTCTAAGGGTCCGCCTGCTAGGGCGCCAACTATATACTGGTCGTCCGTAACTGCCGACGTAGAGCGCAGAAGGCCTGAGTGGCGTCACAGGCTCTGTCCTAAGGTGACCGTTGGGAGGGTCTTGACGGATCAGTGATTGTGCAGGCGAAGGAGGCCGAGGACAAGGGTCAGGGTAGGTCGGGGCGTCCGAGGGGGCGCTGGTCGGATGTGCCTCGGATGCGCTCGGACGGTCCGAAGGAGGCCGAAGCGGGGGTTCCCCTAACATAAATGCAAAAAAAAAAAAAAAAAAAACTATAATAGAGTGTTTTTAATGACACTACAGCTACCTAATAGTTGTTCAAAGAGGATAATTCATTATGATACTTATATGACAATGAAATTTTACCATATTATGATTACTGTATATTCTATTATTACTATCCTGGAATTTTGATAGTAATATAATTAGTGCTGGCCATAAATAAATATTTTCGAATAAATATTAAATATATTATGAATATTATGAATATAATATAATGTCAGCGCAGACCTGGAATATTAATATACCTGAATATGATATAATATATCCTGAATACATTATATTACTGCCTAGGAATATTCAATTATACTCAGGTATTCAACCATTCCTGGTTTTAGTATATCTATGGAATATATACTGTACTATTATTAATCCTGTTATGGTTATATTGTCATTTTGTCTGGAATTTTACTGTGGTCATAACGAGTTTCTCTGGTCCCAAACCAGCCCAAAATGGTAATTTCAAATATTCTGTGTCTATGGTGTGCAGACCTACCATATAAGGCAGCAGGCCACATGAAAGTTGGCCATTGGCTAAGTTGTACATCTCTGCACAAGGTCACTGGCCTATAAGATTGAATGAAACTACAGTATTCTCTCATCTCAAGTATATACAATGTCTGATGTCTTGCCCAATAAAGATAATGTCATTGGGTATCATTACCAAGGAATGGCTAAAGATAGGTTTGGCAGACGATGATGACTCCTTAGGCCTTAGAGTCATATTCCAGATCACTAGATTATATTTGAAAGCTACTCATATCAAATTGGATATCTAAGAGGAAATATGAATATAATATACCACAAATATAATATTCTTCCAAGTATGCAAATATGATATAATATCTGAATTGCATATTATATTTGTATTTGGCCAGCACTAAATATGATAATGAGCCAGGATTAAGCTGCAATGTCAGGTGTTCGTTTAGAAATCATGGACTTGTGACATGTATTGTTATGGTGTTCTACTTTCTTTCCCAAAGACCCAACATTTTGACGCCAAGTGATGCAAATCGACTGAAAGCCTTCCATTTTTTGGATAGATTTCATTCCACAAGCATGCGAACTGCCATATGATCATTACTACCGAGTCCCATTGCGACTGCTGTACTACACAACATGCACCGACTCCTCCACGGCGACCATGATACGCGACTTGCGATCGCGCTCCATCGACTCCTTCGGGCCTGCCATCTGGCTTGCGTCGTCGTCGAGGTCCACGAAGCTCGTGTCGTGGTCATGCCCGTGGCCGTTGTTCTGCTGGCGGAACACGATGCTCTGCTTGTTGGACAGTGTATCCGAAGGTGTCGTTGCCGCGCTACGGCCGCGGGTGTGGCCCTGTGGCCTATGAGCGCTCCGGAGGGGACGAAGAGATGCGGGGATACCTCTGTCAGTACCTCGCCGAGCGAAATGGCGGTCGCCATCCCGCCGGTCATCCGTATGGAGTCGCGGGAGTTCAAGACATGTAGGAGCGTCTGGGTCTTTCAGTCGTGCTCCTGGGGGAGACAAAGGACACCCACGTTTGTGTATATCCGCCCAATGGGGTACGCAAACGTGAGGTAGAGATTCGACTGGCGGAAGAACGTGAACGAGAAGAGGTCGCCCATCGCGAACACCGAGGCAAAGACGCCCGTCTCGATCGCGCCGTAGATCAGTCGGTTGATCATCGCATCGGTCTTGCGGAAGCCTGTGCGCGAGCGAATGAGCGAGAAGATTAGCGCACCTGTTGGAAATGTCAGCGAATGGCCCGTCCGCGTCGATTGCCAGTAGTGGGACACGCACCAGAGATGCCGAGGTCGGAAACCGACTGGAACGAGAGCCACAAGATTACCCATTTCACGAGCGGCGGGAACTTTTCGACGCTGCCGCAGAGACTAAGCATCAGAAAGGCGGAAAGTAGAGGCGACGCACGTCCCAAGAATGCCGGAGTATATCCCTGCGGTGCATCCGAATGCAAAACTGAGCACCGATGTGGTGCCGAGGAAAGCCACCAGGGCGACGTTGCGGGTTAAAGAGTGGACCCTGCATTCATAAGACCCGAGTACACAATAAATGGAATCGCTCACCTGTAGAGAAGGAACGCCTGTGTCAACAGCGCAGCGACAGCATCGGCAGTCGCAGTGAAAGGGATGACCCAGTTAACAACTACAAAAGGTCAGGCTTGCTGCTGCTTGAATGGCCGGCGCACGCACTGGCGAAGCTCGCAAGATCGCCGTAGTTGGTCACGGCCACGTCCCATACGGCGTAAAACTCGCTAAAAATCATACGTAAAAGGGGCCGGCGGAGAACATGCAGAACACGCACACCCCACTGTGGATGGTATCGAGTATGAGCAGCATCCAGACGATTGCCCTGTCGCGCGCGCGTTCAGTTAAGACTTCAATTGTCGAGGAGAAGTGTGTCACCGAATCCACGCCGGGTCCTTTGTTCCTGCTCGCCAGTGACGGCAGTCAGCAACGGCCAAGACGCGAGCAAAGGGAAAACATACGCGAGGAGCCATTGAAGTATGTCAGGAACTGGCCAAGGACGAGGCCGTACAGCAGGGTGTTGAAGAGCACACCCATGAGATTGAGGCCTGTGTCGCCGTCAACGGAGCTCTATCGTCAGGGCCTTTGAGACGTCCTCACCAACTAGCAGCGCAGTGGGCGATGCAGGCATCTTTTGGTATGTAGGGTGGAGAGTCGAGAGTTTAGAAGGGGGGTAGGTGTTAGCGGAGGGAAGAAAGTGGGGGGAGAATCGGTCGATGGCGAGCCCGATTACATATACTTAGACGGACCGCAAGGAGAGTATGTAGCCTTATGAAGCGAGCCTCGCATACGGATGTATATGTACGAGAGGCATTGACAACGGCGGTGACGACAATGCGCTGCTTTCCGCGGCATATGCATTCAATGGCGTGCTGTGGTTTCGAAGCAGTTGAAGAGCAATAGGCGCTATGTTGGGAAGGAAAATTGGACCAACACTCCGGCTTTCTATTCGCGATGGAGCGCGCGCGAACCGCGTTTGGGAGCAGAGGACATGCGACGACGGAGGTGAGGCGACCCAGCTTGGCGGACGGCGCTGAGACGTGATAGGCGACAGACGGAATAGTGAGTGTACGTCAGTAGTTTATTTTTATGTCGGCGGATGAGTCGAAGCCTAATTGCAGGCAGCTGAGGGTGAATTATCGCAGATATTGATATGACGCTGGGCAGAGGTCAAATGTCTGAGGGGCTGGTGGCGTTTCCGTGTTAAAATTCAAGCAGATGAAGATTGGGAGCAGTCGGCACCGATGGGGAAAGGTTGACAAGCCGAGGGGAATATACGGCGAATGGGCCGGCGCCGGACACTTGGAACGACAGCGAGTGGGAAACCGCGCCAAAGAAAGAGCGCGACGTGGCCAATGGTCGTCCGTGGGCGACTCAAAAGCCTCGCGGGGTGCTTCCAGAACAACGAGCAATGTCTTCCGGAGCACAAGTCTGGGAGTGCTGCCTTGGTGCTGCCGGATGTGCGCCTTCGAAACCCACGTCCCCACATATCAGACGCGTGGCCTGACAAGCGACAGAATCCACGGCCGCCGACAAACCACATAAAGATGTCGTGAGGCGGAGGAGACCCATCTCTTCGTGTTACGACAATCTTGCCCTCAAACCATGCCCATCCCGCAGTACCCGCTCAGCGTCGTAAGCCTACCCTCTGCTTCCTTCCGCTCGACTAACTGGTCTTCGCAAAGCTTCTGACCGGCGCAACCGGCTTTGTCGGGGGAACGGCGCTGTCGGCCTTCCTCGAGCGACCGGACTACCTTGCGGGGAATGTTCGACTAACCGTGCTCGTGCGGGGCGAGGCGCGCGCAGCGGTTCTCCGTGAGAAGATTGGAGTGGAGGTGTTGGTGGCCGATTTGGCAGATGTGGATGTGGTCAGGGCGGCGGCAAGGGAGGCGGACGGTGGGGACTTCAAGGTTCTTCAATGCTGTTGTGCGCTGACGTTTCTGCTGGCAGTGATCCTCCACACGGCAAATGCGGACCACCCGCCATCGGCGCGGGCGATGCTCGAGGGGTTGAAGGAGCGATATGAGAAGACGGGAGTGCAGAGTGTGTTCATCCACGTGCGTCGTCTTGCTTCCTCATGCAGCTCCTGGCTCAGCAAAAAGGAACGCAGTCCTCGGGAACGGGAGCGTTGACCGACAACGCGAAAGGGCAGTTTGCGTCTGAGAAGATGTACGCTTTTCTGCTGTTGGCCTTGAGCAACGACTCAAGTCCATCGAATAGATACCAGGACGAAGACTGCACTGATATTCGTGCCATCCCAACCTCCTACGTCCACCGCGAGACCGACAACATGATCATGCAGGCGAGCATCGACGGCTATGTTCGCGGCTATGTCGTTATGCCGCCGTTGATATGTGTGTTCCTCTGTCGTGACCCGCCTCCCGAGCTGAAGTCAGTTAGACGGACGAGGCACGGGGCTGTTCAGCCGCACCTCCGTACAGATCCCCGCCCTTATCCGCGCCGCGCTCAAGCTTCGGCAATCCATTCACGTCGGCCCCGGCCTTCCATTGTGGAACGGCGTACACGTGCAGGATCTCGTCAGGCTGTACTTCGTCCTCCTGGACGACGCATTGAGCAGAACCCCTAAGGCGCCCACCGGTTCAGATTGCTTTTGTATGTCATTTTACCGTTCTAGCAGACAACTTGATTAGATGTTTAGACTTCTGCGCCACGGACACGTACCAGTGGCGCGAGCTCGCGGGCGAGATTGGTAGGCGACTGCATGCAAAAGGCGCAATACCAACGGCGGAGCCACGCACGCTTCAGCCAGAAGAAGTGCAGATGGCGCTCGGGGAGTGGAGCGATTTTGCGTACGGGAGCAATTGTGCGTGCTTCCACTCCGCACCTTTCTTGTCCTTCGCCCCTCCTCCTGACTAACCAAACACCCAGCGCGCTCCGTCGCAGGCAAGGCCCTCAGCATTGGCTGGACACCAGCGCATCCTGTGGGTGGAACGGGCCTGTTTGACTCGATTGAGGCGGAATACGAGGCGGTGCTGGAGGAGGGCGCGGATGAGAAGCCAAAGGTCCACAACGACGAGACGGACCGCGCGGTTGGCGCGTAGTGTGCATGGAACAGAACGAGTTAGAATCCGAATGACATCGTGGTTCAGGGAAGAAAAAAAATGAGTCATCAGTTGGTCATCACACTGGCGTCAATATCAGATATCATGATCCGACGGCAGTGTCATCACATCATCCTGCCTACGTCAGCAAGTTGTGTTGTCGCCCAGATTTGGCCCGTGCATGTCGGCCTTCGCCCATGGGCCATGTATCGTAGTCTTGCCGTCATTGCGCATTCCCACTGGATATTCAGCGAGGACGACGTCCATAATGAGTTGGTGCAAGGAGAACCGGAAACAACCGAAGACGGATCACCGCCGGTAACAGAACGCATTTACGCAACACTCCTTGCTTTCGCCCACCATGGACGACGACGACCACCCCCGCCTGCCCCCTGAGTTGGAGCGGCACATCTTCCGCATTGCTGCGTGTAACGACGCCCGGGAGGTGCCGAACCTCATGCTCGTCGCTGGCCGCGTGAAAGAGTGGTGCGTGTGCTGTTGCCAGCCGCGCTCACAGATGATAAACGCCGCTGCAGGGTGGAGCACCTCGCCTGCCACACGATGATCGTGACCTCCTCCCTCTCCCACATCGACTTCATATCGCAGACCATCCGACAGATCACCCGGCCAGGCTTCGACCGCCTAGCGCAGCGCAAGGGCACGGCGTTTCTGGCTGCCGCCGTCAAGAGTATCCTTCTCTCGTACGAACTCAGTAAGGACGACATCCGCGAAATCCTGACGATCTGCTCCGGTATCGAAGAGTTCATAATTTATTCCGGTGTGCGCGTCTACGGTGCTTTAGACCTGCTGCCCAAACTCCGCCGTCTGCGCTGCTCCATCGGCCAGTTCTTCGACATTTATGATCCCGACGTCGTGGCAGGGCTGTCTGCGCAGCCATCGCTCGCGAACGTCACGCACTTGGAACTATTCCTCGTCGGGCTCCATGACGAACCATTTCCGGTGTGGATCCAGGCCCTCTCCCTCCCTGCGCTCACCCACTTCGCGACGTCTTCCCACGCCCTGATCCTCGAAAAGTACCCCGACCTCAACGAGGCCGTCCTCGACGCGCTAACGGACCCCGAGCGGCCGTTCGCCATCTTCGTTGTGGTCGACTATATGATGCTCCTGCAGGACGAGTCGCCGCTGAAGCTCAAATTGGACAAGAAGCTCTCCGCACACCCCGGCTTTGTGCACTTCTCCCACGGGCGCGGGGCGTGGGCGACCGACTGGAGCAACCACACACTCGGCGGGGACGACTTTTGGTCATATGCCGACGAGTTTGCGCGGAAGCGGAGAAGTGGAGAGCTACCTAGTGAGCATAGAGCCGTACACCATTTTCGTCATGCTGATGAACACCTTAGAAGACAAATTCGAACTGCTGGATCCAAGCGCGATACCCGAAGCTGAAGCCGAGGCCGAAGCTGAGGCCGAAGTTGAGGCTGAAGCTGAGGCAACAGAGGAGGATGATGAGGACGAAATTCTTGTGGAAGAGAGCGATACCGAGTTGACTTCCATTACTCTGTATCTTCTCCCATATTAATAGTCTTTATAGCCTATAGGCCAAGGGGGGTTCAAGATACAAAACATGGATATAGGTCGGAAAGTTTTTTTCCGACCCTCTGGGGACCCCCCTCCCCCCTCCTGCAATATGACGCAATAAGTTCCCATGATTCACATCATGTGACTACTGATAGATAATTTTTTTTAAAAAAAAAGTGGGATAAAAAATTCAATCTTTGTGAAACTTTTTTTTTGCAAAAAATTTTAAAGACCCGTATACCTGCACTGGTTTGGCCTACCCGTGCAGTTGCCTATGTGTGGTACCCCAGGCCGCAAAACCTAAAGTCTGCACTGTTGAGGCTTAGAGATATTGCTGAGGATAGTGTAGCCATTAGGACTGAATCTAGAACTTGGGAAGAAACATTGTAATATATGATTTTGTAAGGGACTGAGATCAAGGTCCTAGCAGGGGAGGATCCCAAAAGAAGAAACTCTAAGGGTCTGCCTGCTAGGGAGCTGACTATATACTGCTTGGCCATAGCTGCTGCTGGGCGGCATCACAGGCAAGGTCCCAGGGTGACCATCGGGAGTAGGTGTTGACAAATCAGTGATTGTGTGGGCGAGATGGAGGGCCAGACCGGAATCAGAACTGGAATCAGAATCATCTCCGAGGGGCCAAAAGGGAGGTTCCCCTGACAGTCTCCGGGAGAAGGCATGAGGTTGACTCATGTTACGGCTGGGCTTGTGGTACAGCATGAAGTTGAACCAGAGAGGAAAAGCAACCACTGGGCCTGTCTCTGGTTGAGGTGCTGTGTCTTCTTGAAGTACTCCGAATTCTTATGGTCAGCCCAAATCTCGACAGGGTGCATGGTGCCCTCGAGAAAGTGTCTATACTCCTCAAGTGATGAGCATCGCTGTCAGCGTCGGGCTCGGGCCGTATCGGGACATCAGGTGGTCCAACTGCGAGTGGGTCTGAGGAGCACGAAGATGGGTTTTAAGCCCGGAGAATAGACAATATTAGCCTAGCGACTACATCCTGTAAGTACAGTTTTCATACGCTCAGATATTAGGGATGGATCGGATAGGCGCTAGGTCCCAGGGCGGATCGGATGGGCACTGCGTAGGGCCTGCAGGGGTGAAGGGAAGGGGTTGGAAGAATGGGGAGTGTTGAGGAGTATGGCGGTTGTGCAGGCCCATGCGGGCCCGAACGGCCCCGTGGCCTGGTAGTTCGACCTGAACCGTGACAATTGCATTGTCATGGACCTTGTAGTTGCACTAGACATTATTTAAGCTTTTGGAATAGAATGCCACAGGGTGCCACCTCCTGTCCAGGGTGGATTGCGGAAGAACCGTCCCCATCGCATAATCACAGCTGCAGAGATCCTCTCTCAAGTCGGAAAGGCCGTGTGTCGTCCAGCCTTGCCAAAATTGGTTTTGAGTTGACCAAGTCCCAAGTCCAATGCTGGTCCTTGTTGGTGAGCGCAAAGAGACTTAGAGGACACACAGGGGCTGAGAAGTCCCCAATGAACTAGTAGTAGAAATTAGCAAACCTAAGGAACTGTTGGACATCCTTCTTGTTTTCTGGAGATGGCCAAGCAGAAATACCTGTGACTTTAACAGAGTCCATTTCAATGTGGTCATGGGAGATGACTCCAAGGTACTCAATTGACGATTTTTTGAAGTTGCACTTCTCTGCTCGTAAGATCTACCTCCTGGATGATCAGCAGGTATTTCCAATTTTTGATACTAAATACATCTATGTACAATAAGAACTGATGGAGAATAAAACATAAAAACCTCCAAGTCATAAAAGGTGCGGAGGTGGTGTGCAATCAGCTGGTGCCAACTTTTCTGAAAACAGCAATTACAAAATCAAGTGCAATTATTTCTAGAAAAAAAAGTTAGGCATGAATTAGGAGTGTGGCCTCTGGAGATACATTCAGTAGCACCTTAATAGTTTGGATTGCTGCTCACATTGCAGGAAGAGCTGCAAGACACAGACTTAACAGTGCTATGGGTTGTCACGTCTCTGAAAGACCAGCTGCTCAATTTGCAGAAGATCATATTCTAGCCCAATGAGGGCAAGACGTGAGATACCCTTCGCCAAATACAAGATTGTCCCATTTTAATAAATTTATCAGGGGGGTCGGCAGCATGACCCCCATGACAAACTGGATGTTTCGTCAGCCGCTCAGCGGCTGTGTGAGTGACAAAATTTTTTGTTAGTGGGAGCGGGCAGGCCGGGTGCCATCACCCGGGCCAATTCGTCAGCTCTGTTGGCACCTCAGTTTTCATGGGGGTGTGATGTGTGACAATTGATTAAAATAGAACAGTACCACTTTACTGCACACCTCCATGTTGTCCAACACAGTAGCCCAGCAAATAGTAGCATGATTTAATGCAGCAAAAGTGCAGCATGCTAAAGATCAGACAGTATTTTATTGCTCTTCTTGTCAGCTAGGCATCTAATCCGCAGTTTTGAAAAAGAACTTGAGCATTTGTTGAGGATCTGCAACAATATTAATGCAGCAAAGGGTAAATTCCATGGCTGTAGCAGTGAGCAAGTCCATTTACACTTGCAATGCTAGACCTTTCACCTGTGATAGCAAACCAAGACCCAATTTGATAGCTGTTATGTGAAATTTCAGGAGATTTGCAAGAAGGAGGAGGACATTGCTGCATCAATGTGTGTGATGAATAACCATAAGATGAATAGATATTGTACAGGATATCAATCTTATTATTTAGGTACCCGTGGCAGTGCTAGAATCACCTATATAATCACAGGGGTTTGAGAAAAATAGGCGCTGAAAGGAGTTATTGACAACCTGTGCACAAAAATGAATATTTTGGCAGTTATAGTATAGGAATTTTTGAGATCCTTCTAAATCAGGACACTTTAGAACCAAAAGAATGGGCTGTGACCTGTGACCTGCTGAAATATTTCGGCCAAAAAATCTGATATGACCATGACCACCAAATTGAATGAAATGGGTATTTGATACCATAATATAGAAGTTGATTTCTTGTACATCAATTTCTGCAACTTTTATTACATGATTATTTATAAATCCTGCTTAGGGGACTATGTTTTGCGTGGAACCCCGGTGGGTATACTACGTGAGGATAAATGAACGAAGGAGTTTGCACAGTTGTCTCTTTGTGCAATCATAATTGATACCACACGGAAATGACGCGCGCGTGTCGAGGCTCGAACGCACGTCGCCAGCTTACGTTTTTAGGCGCTTGTCGGATCATCCATCAGATATCAAACTTCCTTGTCATGCCACGTCGACGACCCTTTAACGCCCACCCCCAATCCGGCGGCCTCTGCGGGCGCGATGGTGAAACAGCCGCAACGGACCCGAGACTGCGAATGCACACCCAACTTATGCTGTTGCGCAGGCTGCGTGGCTGCTCGGAACATCTAGCGCAGCTCGGAACATCTAGCGCAGCGCGGGCCCAAGCGCAGCCTTTCTCATCAGTGCCAGGAGCGCCAGCCTCGCCGCACTTAGAATAACTGCTAAACGATGACGACCCTCGCTACTATGACACGGCCAGTGCCGCGTCCGTTGTCACTCGGCATCCCCATCGAGCGCCGCTTTGTTCGGCCAAACTGAAGACCCCGCTCCCAGCGCGGATCCGTCTCTGCATTGATCATGAAGGGAGCGCCGATCCTCGTCAGCTAGGCGCCCACTCCGCCCGCCGACGCAATTTAGTCGGACGCACGCACCGCCTTGACCCGCATCCGCGTCACGATGACGCAGTGCCCTCGATCCTAATGCATTCGCAACGCTATATATGCGCTGTAGTATGGTGTGTTGGCATGAACCCTTTCCACACACACTCGCCGCAGCCTCAGGTAGTTGCCGGTAGCACGCATCAGCCACCGCCACGCGCCGCGTAATATTGTTTCACGTCAGGCCTAGGCCACACGCTCAACAGCACAACAACTCAACAGCAGCGGTCGGGGCAGCTGAGCCCGGGCGCGCATTCGGGGATAGCCATCCATCCATCATCTGTCCTGCGGCCGGGGCGTGGGGCGTGACCCCAGAGTCATCGTCACACGCAGGCTGTTGTAAGACGGAGTCATTTCCCAAATTTGGTGCGTGCCGACATCTCCAATGGGGCGGCTACATCATGCTTATTATACTGCGTTACAGCTCGAGCTCGCGTCTTGTTTTCGCTCCCCACCCCGCCCTAGAGCCATGTCTTCCCCTCCCGGAGCGCGACCGCGCGCCAGTCTAGACAGAAGAGAGGTGCGCTGGAGTTTGACAATCGAGGCGTATTCGGCGATGAATACGCCGGAGTCGTGGACTTCCGCGTTGCCGTCAGTGGACGACACTGACACTGACATACCTACTCGACTTGAATCCCCACCAGAGCGGCACGAGCAGCTTCCGGTCGCCGAAACGCCCCCACGGCTCCCGTTGCGTTTCCTACCGCCCACACCACATCCCAACGCTGATGTCCCCCTGCCCAGCCCCGACTCCACGAGTAGAATGCGAACAACTCTAACACTGCCTCTGCGCCAGACTGAGACTGTGATCCCCGCCGAACCACGCCGATTACAGCTCCACCCGGCATTGGCCCCGGCGACGGCGCTCACGCTCGACCTATCTTTCCCCTCCGATGCTTTCCAAGCCAACCCCCTTCTGACGGCCGACCTTCTCCTCACCCCCCGCCTGCAGCCCCCCGCGCAACTCACTGACAATCCGTCTTTCCACACCGCCCGGCGCGCCGATGGAGTTCAAGACACGCGTCGAAGTCCGCTCTAAGACGATTGGACAGGCGTTCGTCAGCATCGGCGATGTCTTGTCCAAGATTCATCGCACCATCCGGGCGTACGACTCGGGCCAGGTCCCCGCGTCGCCGACCATCAGCACCATCAGTTGCGGATCGGGCTCCGGATCAAGTGCCCGGGGCTCGCCGTCGCCGTCGCCGACCCACCCGAGCGCGCCGTATTCGCCCATGCAGGCCGCGGAGACGCTCCAGCGGTACCTCGCGCGCCGCGTCGCAACTGTGAACGGGTTCTGTCCAGACCGCCCGCTGTCCGTGCAGCGCGGGAACATCGAGCGCGAGGGCGAGGGTGGGGCACGTGTCGTCGACCGATTCGTGGGGCACACGCTCTTCGCGGGGCTTCTGCCGCTTCAGGGTGCCACCGAACTTCACTTCCAGCTCGTGCTAGCTGTGCCTGAGCGCTACCGGGAGGCTCCGCCAACGCCTCCGAGTCCGCGCGGTGCCGATTTAATGTGATGTGATTCCCCCCGTGTACTGCTTAGTCTAGGGTGCAGGATTGAATTCTAGGGGGTTATTAAAACCGGTTTGAACTCCCAGCCGATTTACAAACCGGTTTGCAAACAGGGATTGATTAAAATTGCCTAAAATGGCAATTTTTAACCTTTTGAATCATTTTTTTGTACTAGCATATGTATTTACTTGTCTTTTTACACCATTCCTCAAGCTTTCAGGGTGCCCCTTGCTATCCTAAGTTATATTCTGTGTTGTCTGTATATGGTGTGACCCTATCACCGATGTGACAGTAACACTTTGAGCCTTTAAAAGACCTTTAGTGACATTACATAGAGAGTAACAATGGTTGATTAGTATGCTACCTCTATAGCTGTAACTATAGCTGCTACAGTATACACCAAAGTCTGTCTAAAACCAGTAAATTGCCTAACTTTCCCACATGTGATGTGTTTTGAAACAGCACTTTTTCTGAAAATAATTAAAAACCGCGGTTTGAAACAGCTGTTTCAAAACGCGGTTTGAAACACCACTTAAATCCTGCACCCTAGCTTAGTCTGTGCGGGTTTGATGTGTTTTATCTATGGAGTTGTTCTGTAATTGTTTCTTAAACATTGTAGCCATTAATTGTTACCCTGCCCTTCTATGGTGGTCACTTTGGGGTCCTGGGGAAATATTCCCCCCCCACATATTGTCACAATTTTCGCATTTTGCGCGATTTTTCCACATAAGTTGGGTAGCGCAATAAATTCTGTTACACCATTAGCAGAAAAGTCGCGGGGATACTCAGCAACATATTTATTTTGATAGTGCGACTTTTTTTTGCAACTTAAAGGGCGACTTTTCTGCTGAATACCAGTGGCCAAACTGGTTCATCACCCCAATATGGCATTCACTGCTATCCAGAGCCAAACCTTATTTACACATCACCAAAGCTATCCAAGGGGGAAGCGTGATGGCATCAATGCACATGACGCCAGTCGGTCGGTCCCCCCAGTGGGCCTTGAACTTTTTTTTTATAGTGAATTTTTTTTTCAAGTATTAGACATTAATTATTGCTGTTCTCACCTGATAGGGCGCGGATCAAAACAAGTCGATATATACGGAAAATGTAGTCGACACTAAATAGCTTGTTTCTCCACCAATACACGTCTGTTTCCCCTGCAAGTATGTGCGTTCGAATCGCCTTTTTGAGGCGCATCGAATGGCACTAGAATTTACGTGAAATTGTGGGATTTAATTTCACGTCTCGTCCAGCTTTCCCTCGACAACAAGCACTTGTAACATGATTTGACGCGAGTTTACACACTGCTAGGTATACCTATAACCTTTACCAAGGCTCTGGCAACTGTCGTAGGACCTGTGAAGCTAGCGAAGAGTGTGTGTGTTATGATCAATGTGACCGCAAAGGCTCTTAGCTTTGACGACCACCACCATGCCGCGTGGTGGTCAGCCTCAGGCTCGGGCGCCTCGACAAGTCATTCGCAAGCAATACTCCAAGGATCTCAAAGATCTGGCTGTCTACCAGCGCCATGTTCTTGGCAAGAAACCCACAGAAATTGCCATCGACATCCGAATGCCTCTTCGCTGTGTTCAGCGCTGTCTGAAGACTCATAAAGACACTGGGCGGGCCTATCGGTTGGGAATTGGTGGAATGGAGGCTATTATGGACTGGGAGCTTTGCAATGTGCGTCTTCTTCATTTCCTGTGATATTTAGTGCTTAGGCTATCTAGTTTTTGGCTGCTGCGCTGGCACGAAGTTGCGACACATATCTTGACGAGCTCAAGACTGAGATCCTAGCGGTATACAACCTCCATGTCTCCATTGCTACGATTTCTCGCACCCTAAAACACCTTGGGTTGAGCAAGAAGCGGGTATGTCTATGGTCTACAACTCTATATTACTTGAATTGATATCTCCCCAGCTTTCTCGTGTTGCATCTGAACGTGATGAAGATCAGCACCGCCAATTCATCTATGACATTGGCCATTTCCATGTCGACTACCTCGTTTTTGCTGATGAGTCTGCTGTAAATGTCCTCACAACTCATCGTCTTGAAGGATGGGCGGCAGTTGGAAAGAGAGCTACCAAGAATTGTGAGTTCGTGCGAGGGCCATATATGGAAAGGCTACGACGCGTCGCACGACCAGTGGGTCCGCTTCGACCGTGTCTTCGCCCCGGAGAAAATCGCGGAGTTCTACCGTAAGGACCCTGGCAACCCACGACACATCGCCTCCGCGACCTTCGACTCGATTCCGTTCCGGTCTATGCGTCGGGACACCGCATTCAAAGGGGGGGGTGATGTCAGGGGAACCTCCCTTTCGGCCCGGAGACGCGCCCGATTCCGGTCCGGCCCTCCATCTCGCCCGCACAATCACCGATCTGTCAACGCCCTCCCGACGGTCGCCCTGGGACCTCGCCTGCGACGCCGCCCAAGCCTTCTGTGCCCGACAGCGGCAGCTACGGACAAGCAGTATATAGTCAGCTACCTAGCAGGCGGACCCTTAGAGTTTCTTCTCTTTGGATCCTCCCCTGCTAGGTCAGCTTCATTTGTATTCGCTTACCAATGTTCACGCTTTGCATCCTCCCCTGCTAGGACCTTGATCTCAGGCCTCCGGGGTTGCCCCTACAGCTTCGTGCGAGCAGGGAAGCCATATACTGTTGATATGAGTAGAGATTAGGGAGAAAGAAGGACACACATTATCCGGCAGCAATGCCAACGTTACGACAGTTATCTTACCCTTGTCTTTATCATACTTCTCTGCAACGCGCTGACGGAAATCATCCCAACTATCTTCACTAAGGAGCACGGCACTTCCACGAGAAAACTTGTACTGCATTAACGGCTGGACAGCGACATCAGAGCATCCGACATGATCAAAAACAGCGAGTTCAGCTTCGTCGTAGGTGCTATCGAAGGGAATATCCAGTTTGGCTGTGGTAATGGAGTTGCAGGCAATAGTCGGGGCTTCAAATTTGAGAACTATGCAACTTGTAAATCAAGAAAGCTAACAAGATTCAGCACGCACCAGTCGGCACTAATTTTTCCTTTTCTTTCGCTTTTCCCTTGACCTGAGCAGTTGGCTTGCTTGCCGTTCTTCCTTTGGTTTGTCCTTTGGCTTTTGATTTCTGAATTGCAGTGGCTGCGGTTGGGTGGTAAGCTAAGAACAGGTCAGATCGAGGAACACACCTTGCTTGGCCTTGCGGTCGAATACATTCTTGGCCAAATTCTCCGGCTCTGGTAGCTCATCCTCCTCTTCGTTGCTCTCAATATTGAATTCCGAGTCAGCTGCAGCGGGGGGGGGGTGAGATTTGACAGGTCGACAAGATTATAACAGATGTACTGTTTGTCTTGCGGCGCAGCTTCTTGTGTGGTGGGCTTTGTTCGATTATTTCAACTATATGTCAGGGGAACCTCCCTTTCGGCCCCTCGGAGACGCCTCCGATTCCGGTCCGACTCCGGTTCCGTCTCCGGTCCGGCCCTCCATCTCGCCCGCACAATCACCGATCCGTCAACGCCCTCCTGACGGTCGCCCTGGGACCTCGCCTGCGACGCCGCCCAAGCCTTCTGTGCCCAACAGCGGCAGCTACGGACAAGCAGTATATAGTCAGCTACCTAGCAGGCGGACCCTTAGAGTTTCTTCTCTTTGGATCCTCCCCTGCTAGGACCTTGATCTCAGGCCTCCGGGGTTGCCCTTACAGCAGCAGAAACTCTCTACGGGATTAACCGGACAAGATTGCCAGGTTCGGCGCTGACTCAGGCTCGGAGTACGAGTCTGTTCCACCCTCGTCACCGCCCCTGCCACTTGTCCCCTCCTCCTCTACTCCTGTGGTCCCCGCACCCGTCATGCCGTCCGGAGTCACTCCTACCGCAGACGCCCGGCTGGACTCACTCGAGGCGAAAATTGATAGCCTAACTGAGGCCCTTGCTTTACTCACCAACCAGGCTTCCGCTGCCGCTGCCGCCGCTAATAATGCTGGCGGACCCCAAACACCTTCGCCGGAGACGTCGATTCCGACTCCGACTCCGGTCCAGGGCGACTCCGAAGCCCTTTTTGGCGACATCAACCTCGCCTCAAAATTGGTCTTGCGACCAAACCCCCCGTTCACCTTCAACGGCGACCGGAAACGCGGCCGCGCGTTCCTTTACGCGGTCCGCACCTACGCCCGCCTTGCCCCTGAGGCCTTCGTGGTCAACGGAGAGGCGAGCGAGGAAAAGGCCGTCCGCTATGCCATGTCGTTTATGGCAGAAGGACCCGCTCAGCAATGGGCGGAGCGCCACGGAAGCAAAGCCCCGTTTCCGTTTCCGTCCTGGGGCTCGTTCGTTTCCGAGTTTCGACTCCGGTTCGTTGAGGAGAACGAGCAAAATCACGCTCTCTCCAAGCTGGAGACTTCCGCCTATCACATGGGCACAAAGGATGTCTACCAGTACACCGACGACTTCGAGGACCTGATGGACCTCGCCGGATTCGAAGACGCGCTGGTCAAGGTGACCAAGTTCCGCCACGGACTTGACCCCTTGATCAACAACGGAATCACGTCCTCGAACGACCCCCGGACCTCCGGGATTACCTTAGCTGGCGCACCCGGGCCTTCCGTCAATACGAGGCCCTGGTCCGGGCCAAGCTGATCAAGTCAGCCGCCCCCAAGACGCCTGGCGATTTGATTCGGACTCCGTTTCCGGTCAACCGCATCCCGGCTCCGGCCCCCTTCCGCCCGGTGGCTCCGGTCGTGCCACCCGCGGCCCGCGCCCCCGCTCCGGCGCCTCCAGCTCCCGTCCCTATGGGGTTGGACCGCACCAGGGCTCGGGGTGCCCCTCGCCGCGCCTGCTTCAGGTGCGGCGACCCAAACCATCTCGCCCGGGATTGCCCCCTCCCTGCCGATGTCCGCTCGATGGACATCCTCGACGAGGTGATCCAACAACTCGGTGACGAGATGTTAGCGGAGTTGATCGCCCGCTACACGGACACAGCTGCCCTGCCGGAGACGGCAGCGGAGTCGATGG